AGAATGACAGTTCAGTTGTACCGCCAACCTCCACAAGTAGGATTCCCCCCCAATGCTGCAAACAATCGCACACTGTTCACATACTGTAGCCAACCTCGCAGCCTGAATCCTGAACCCTAGACCCTAAGCACAAGGTTTGGGATCTGTCCTGCCATCCCCTCGGATGCCGCCTCATTCAGTTGGCGCTGGAGCGCGCTAAGCCACGAACCTCGGCTTAGCTGGAGTGGGTGGGGTACACGTATGGTCATGGGCCGAAGAAAGGAGAATCAAGTGAAAAAAAAGACATGGACAAATACACAGCAACTGGGGCTATGAGTGGGGTTTAGGGCTTTAGGGTTTAGGGCTTTTTGGAAGTTAGCCAAGAGAAGCTTCCTTAGGAAACATAGAGGTTTTCAAGGCACACGGGATTCCAAAAAGTGTTCCTAAACCCAAAAGCCTAAACCGTTATGTAGGCTCTGCAAGGGTCCGGGAAAACTACTTGGAGGGGTTACTAACCCACTTATATAGTAAGCCCCCCTGACCCTCCAAGTGAGCAAGGAAGATCCCAACATTTCTAGCAGGGCATCCTGGCGATCCTGTCGTTTAGTTGATCTTACTGGGGTGCTAAGTACTATTGACTCTGAATGACATGGCGAAGAAGATGGGACATGAACCAGAAACCCTAAACCCGAAACACTGAGGCTTTTCCTGGACGATCTCTTGACCTAGGAAGTCTACCCATCCCAAAGCACCCCTAGTATACGTCCCACAGCCATGTTACTACTGGGTTGCTGTCACGAACGAACTTACGTTAGGTTGCGATAATGAGGAATCCCTTGCATTTACCATGTACGAGTATTCTGAATATTCTGGTAACTTAGTTTTGGATTCCTTAACAGCAATTCATGCTACTAAGTAGACTTACCCTTACCCGGTCAAGAGAGCCTTCAAGTAACAATCCGATGTGTGTGTGGGGCTTGTAAGACAGGGACTCCAGCTCTGGCCCTTGACAGGTACGTAGGCTTTAGGTGTTTTACGAGGTGGGGCTTGAGTGGTAGCGTTTAGCATTTAACTTTTAGTTTTTGGATTACACCTTCGACATTGAGCTACAAGCGGACCTAAACTGGACCACCTGTTTGGAAGCCACAAATATCCAACCTGCTGTAACCCCAGAGCCCTACACCCCTTAAACCGCACAGACTTTGAATCCTTAAGCCTGAGCCCTGGACTGCAAGCTAACCCCAGAACCTACAACCCTAAATGCTAAGCCATAAATCTTACAGCCCTAAACCCTGAACTAACCCGGACACCCCAAAGCCCAATCTGCTTTATGGCCCAAGGCGAAGCTGCTGAGCTGGCCAGCGAACTCCGAGGTCGGGTTGGGCTGGCTGAGGTTGATCTTCATGGGGGGGGGGGGGTGCTGTTTAGGGATAGGGTTTAGGGCTTAAAGTCAGCTGTAGAGGACCTGATCCTTGCTCTCAAAATCTTCTCTTCTACTCACATCCAAGAATCCTGCATCTCACGGTCAATGTGTTATTGAGTTTGTTCAGTCATGGCGGGAGGGGGGAGTGCAGCTGCCTTCCAGACATAAAACAACTTGTGCACTGGTTGACTTACTGGTGCTTAGCAGGGTATAAGAGAATATAATCCCATCATAATCCCTAGAGCATATATTCCCATACTCCCTACTAACCCCCCAGTACATTCAGGCAATTTACGTTTGCCTTTCACGTTACGGGCCTTCATGTCGTCATCACTGTAGTTCAGCTCCTCCTAAACTGTGGGGATATCTTAGGAGGGCCTCCATTCTTGACAACGACCCACACAGGTTGCAGAGGAATTTATAGTACTCGCATTCCACAGCATGTCGGAGTTCAGAATCCCCTGCTTTACTCAAACGTGGTAGGACCCTTTGCATCAAAACTTCAGAGGAGGCTGTGAGTTCAAGATACTCACGTAATCAGATGGGGCTTCAAAAGTTAGGGGTCTCTTTTGACCCTGGGGGGTCCCCCCCATAATACGGTGAAAAACTTTGGGGTCCGTAATAAATATATTTGCGCTTTGGTGTCTATATTGGGGCCCTCTAGACAAGGAATCGGAAGCTACCAACCAATGAGGTATGCCTTACATCGTCTGAGATGTAAGGCAACTGCACATGACCCCATGCCATTTACTTTCGGAGATCTAGTTTGCTCTGATTCACGGCTATCCAAATTTTGCGAATGCCCATGTTCTTTGGCCGGGAATCGGAGGCCACATCCGAGAGGCCCTGATGTCCCCACATGCAGCCTGGTTGCAAATTAAAGGAACTGAAGTGAGATGGACCACTTTGTGGCAGTAGAGGAATGGTTTGAAGAATGTCCATGTACACTAAGAAGGGGTAGCCGCCCATCTCATATCTGTGGAGGGTAGACCCCAGACGCCGAGGCAAACTACGTTGCCCAGAAGATCGTGACTCAACTGCGGCCTGACTTTGGTTAGCAAGGGTGCGATGATTTAAGCTGCTGCTCCCGGTTCTACGTCAACCAGAACCCTACACTATGCAATCCCCATAAAAGCCTGGATGATCCCTCAATGCTTTCTGAAAGCCCTCTAAGGATTGAATCCTCATAATAATACGAAGAACACTATTAGTAATAGCAATAGTAATATTATTAGTAGTAATGCGCATATGCCGCAGCTCCGGTGAGGACATGGACGGGCTGCAGCTTCGTGGCTGATGAACTGGAGGGTCTTGCGTCGAAGTTTGCTCGCCACCGCTCCTATGCGGCACTAAAGGACATTTGTTTGTTGTGAGCGGTTTTTTTGTGGTGACTGCAGACAAAGCAAGCTGTCTTGTGGGTATTTTGATGACTTTTCAGGGAGGGTGATACAAGGGACTCTGAGGTTCAGGAGTTTAGGGTTTAGGGAGAGCAGCATCTCCATCAGAGCCTGGGGAAATGGTAGAAGTACAACCGATTGGTCCCAGATGTGTGGCAGTTTCGAAAACAACTCCCACATGTTAGCAAAGTATGAAACATGCGGGCTGCAACTGCGCCAATGCATTAGGTTGGGCCCCCCAGCCAGGAATAGTTGTATATTGAGGACCGTAGTATCATCACCGGTATCTCATGTGGTCACTATCAGTGTGTGGGGTCCCTTACCCTAAACCTTAAACCCTAAACCCTGTGAACCTAAAATCTAAACAACCTAACCAATGCAGTGGATGCAAAGGCTTTGGGTGCCGCATTTTCTGCCGCTTGCCGCCCGGCAGCATTGCAGGCGTCACATTAAACGCGGTAGGGTTTAGGCTTTAGGGTTCAGGGGCGCTGGTTCCCTTTTGGGGGGGGGTCCTGCAGTAAGGCTTATGCCTTACGGCGTCAATATACTGGGATTACTGGGATCCCCCCGTGTATGGAACTACATAAATTTCGTTGTTTAACGACATACCTACCTACATACACACATACACCTGCCTACCTACCTACCTACCTACCTGCCTGCCTGCCTGCCTACCTACCTACCTACCTACCTACCTACCTACCTGTCGACCTACCGACCTACCGACCGACCGACCGACCGACCTACCTACCTACCTACCTACCTACCGACCTACCTACCTACCTGCACAAAATCATCCTTAGGACGGCCAACTTGGGGCTTCCATTGCTTGATGTGCGCAAGCAGAAAGAACAACTTTTGGACAGACGCACTCGCTACCTCCGCTGTAAACTTGCTGTACTTACACTCCTGCCGGATTTCCCTAAAAGGTTAAGAGTTAAGAGTACGGAACGAAACTTAAGGCTTTTGGGCTTAGAACCCGCCGCCCAAACTCCCAAAGCCAATGCAAGAGTCTTGAGGGTTGAGGCTGTAAGGCTTACATGACCAACGTCTAAGCTTTCTGAATCCGAGGCTCGAATTCTACGCGTCACAAGAAGGCACCCTACGACTGGTGGATGAGGTACTTCAGGACCTCAGCAGTTCCGTACGTCACTAGGGGGCAACGCGTTTGTGGATTATACGTAATAGGGGAGAGATTGGGCGTCAGGTCTAGAAAGCGCTTTCTCGAAATGGTGATGTCCAGTTTCAGGTTTTCTAGGGGGTACACAGGGAGCATAGAGATCTGCTGTAAAGATTGTATAGAGGTTCTTAAATCAAGAAACTACCGCTTAAGCTTACCATGTTTGCCTTAATTACCTTAATTAGTTTTCCCACTGGCCCGAATTGATATTCAGACCCAAAGACAGTATGACTTGCAGACAGAAAACGTGTACTAGGTAGTACTGACAGACTGGGAACCATGGGCTTGCAAACTGCACGCGTTTTTTCCACCGCTACGCATCCTTGGCAAGGGCGTGCAGAGATTGCAAAGTCCTGCGCTTCGCGTGTTGGAGAGCGAGGTTAGCGAATCCCCTTCTTCATCATCAGCCATCACGGGTGACTGCCTTCCCCTCTCTAATGAGGGGCAACACTGCAAAAAGGTGTGCGTGCTGCAGAGCACTGACTGCAGGAACTATGGCATCTTCAAGCCAGACGTGAGCATCCACCAAAGAGTAGCGGCCGGGGAAGAGGCAGCTTCATGCTTTGTGCCGAGCGTCAGGCGTTCGTTCACAAGCATCGTCGTCACAACACTCCAGGTGGATCCAGGTGGGCGAGACAAGTCACTAGTCCCGAGGCTCATGCCAGCGCTCCATCGAAGAAATGCTCGGAGTGACGGATGACATCGGATTTCTGGGAACATGTGTCAGCGAAGCCCTGTGCACGGTGTCGCAAGAGTCGCAGGAGGCCATTGCCCTCCTTGACATCCGTCTCTGCATGAAGATGCCATAGATGCCATACTCGCAACCTTCTCCTCTGCAAGCATGCAGCGTCAGGCCAACCACGACTCTAAGGTCCATAGGCCGATAGACCATGACCCTGTCCCGCTGCTCTCCATGTTGTTCCGGCCTGGCATGCCTGGATCTCGCAGCCGCAGCTGCAGCGTCTTGTATCCGAAGCGGCGGTGGGGTTCGCCACAGTGGCGTTTCAAAACTGGAGCAATGAGGCACCACAATTCATGTCACGCATAAACCTCCGCCCAAGACCTGGGGGAAAAAGATTCAACCGGCCAGACGAAGATTCAACCGGCCAGACGGCATCCTGAGCATCAGCTGCATTTGTCTTGTGTGCGAGCGGCACGGCCAGCCAGCATCATTAGTATTTGCCACATCTGTCTTGTGTGGGCGGGGCGGGGCCAGCCAGCATCATGAGCATCAGCTGCATTTGTCTGGAGTGGGCGGGACGCGGCCAGAGTATCATCTGCATTTATCTTGCGCCGGCGGGGGCGCGGCCAGCCAGAATCATGAGCATCAGCTGCATTTGTGTTGTGGGGCGGGGCATGGCCAGCCAGCACCATGAGCGTGGGCTGCATTTTTCTTGTGTGCTCGGGGCGCGGCCAGCCATTATCATGAGCACCAGCTGCATTTGCTTCATGTGGGTATAGGGCGCGGCTAGCCAGCATCGTGAGCATCAGCTGCCTTTGTCTTGCGTGGGCGGGGCGCCGCCAGCCAGCATCACGAGCATCAGTTGCGTCTGTCTTGTGTCGGCAGGGCACGGCCAGCCAGCATCATGAGATTCTGCTTGACTTGTAAGATGTGCCTTCTGCGATGTATGTATGCCCACGGAGGGAGCACAGAACAGACAGTTGCCGGCAAGAGCACACGATCATGTTGTCGACATTCTGCCGCCACCATGGCAAGATGTGCACGACACACCTGAAGGGTCACAGCCGGGCCCACATGGCCTTTCTGGAGGGAGACCTGCAGTGAGACCCAGGCAAACAGCTGCTCTGTGCATGGGACCGCATGTTCATACGAAACAGTGCTGTAGACCCAGCTGAAGGATTTTCGATCCAGCAGGATGGAAAAGTTTCCATGAAAAGGAACCCCAAGATTCCCAAGCTCCGAGGCCCCATCACTTCACGAGGACCTCCAACCAAAGGAACTCCAGCCGTTATTTCTGACCAGCAAAGAGAATGGCACCAGAATGGAGTCCACAATGTCCGGATATGTAAGGGTATATTTGTATTTGTATTCCTGTCATGCCATGATTACTGGGTGGGGCCTCCTCGACAAAATCTGCTGCGCAGGAAGCCGAAGATTTGTGCTGTCATCCGTTCGGTCACCACGCACTTCGGCTTCGGAATAGATCTCTCGACCCTGCTTAGTAGGAAAAGGAGAGTGAATTCTCAGGGTAGTTTCTATACGATCTCTTGATTACAATGTTTCCCACAACTTTTACTTGGTCGCTGTTCAGGAATTTAATTTGCGCTACCTCAAATTGGGTGCATCCTAAGCGTGGTTTCCTTGCAACAGTAGCTTAATCTGGAGTTCCTTAACAGCAACCTAGTCTAATACGCACCATGGAGTCCTTTCAAGCGGATCTTTCGGATTTGAGGCTTGGCAGGTTTGTTTGAGCTCGAAAGGGCCGATACGGTGATGGCCTCTTGATGCCATCAAAATTGTTGCAAGGCTTTCCCAAGATGTTGATTATGGTTGCGGTACGACTTTCAAAGCACACCCGGGAGTTTGGGTTGAGAGTCTCACGAAAACCGTTCAGCGACATTAGTCCAGTCATGTCCAGTCATTCCAGGGTCTAACGGCCGATCGAACATGTCATAGGACGTAGCTAAAGAATCGAGGAGCAACTACTTGGGAGCTCTGCAAGTAGTTCTGTCTTCTGCAAGTGCACAGCCGGGAAACACAGCCACTACTGTTTTTGTTCTTGCCTCCCTAAAACATCCTACACCGTGAACCCTAAACCCTTAAACAACTCAACCCTGGAGCCCTTATAGACCTTAAACTGAGTAATACAGTGGTTTCGGGGTTCATTTTGCCCATTCCCAACCCTTAATCCTACACAACCCTCATATCGTGTCTACATTATTACAGGTATATATCCCGTACACTCTGTTAAAGGGCCCCAGAACCCCAGGTTGCCCAGTCCGTACTGGAGCACGGTACCGACCGCCACCGGGACACGGTGGCAAAGACAATTTGCTCGAATCCTCTGGGCTTCGCTCAGAACCAGAATGCAAGCCACTGATCTCAGGGTTTAAGGTTGAGGGTCAAGGAATGTGAGGAAATGAACTTCATGAGTTTACATAGTGATTTAGCACATGAAGGACTTCATAAACTGGAGGAGAACCTACAGGACCAGCGAGAGGCTTGAAATATCATTGCCACTGCAGATGTCATTGCTGGGCTTGAAACGAGCTTACCATGTTGGAACGATAAACTCACCAAAATGTTACCCTCCTCAATTGAGGTATGACAGGGTAGACTGATACGAGATGGGATCTCCTGAACTTCTTCAGATGAGCTATAGTCTAAACTCCTTAGACGGGGGTGCTATAGGGGAGCATTTAGGGGACTGCCGTAGGGTTATTAAGGGGGATACCCGGAGTTTAAACTATAGCTCACATATTTCCAACGGTCTGCCCTTGCCGCCTGCGTTGGATTTTCACAGCCTGCTCCGGGGGCTTAGGTTGTTATTCACGCGCATACTTCAGAGGGTTCGCGTAGGCAGCGCCAGCATCCTGGCAAAGAACCAGTTTGGATCAGAATCTCATCCAACCATAAGCTCGTCCTCAAACTGTTGAAGTTCATATGACACTATGCCTCAACTTTTAGCGTCCCCCCTAAAAACTTCTATAATGATTCCCTGTATGATCCCCTATATAACCCCTTTGAGGAGTTTGGACTAAAGTTCATATGTTCCCAGCTCGAGGCGCTTTCGAATCCAGAAAGCAAGCCTCATTTCGCAATCTGAAGCTTTTAGCCCAACAAACTCTACGTGAAACCCTGGAAGCCTCAAATGGTAGTTTCCATAAATAAGGGGACCCCTATACAGACACCAAAGTATTGTAATCCTGATTATGGGAACCCCCCAAAAAAGAAGCCCTGATTTTGGGAAACCTCCAAATGCTGACCTTTGCAGCCCCAAGGTTACCTCGTGGAGAAAGTACTATCCTTTTGCTCGCCGCGCTACCAGCACTCCCTGTTGCTTGCTGAGATTCTTCGCCTAACCCTAAACCCTAAACC